TCATCATCACCATCGTCGTTTCCACAGCAGTGTCAAAGGAACAGGAAGAGGAGGGATTAGGGCAGGAAAGGGCGGGACAGAGAGAGAGAGGAAGGGGGCGGGGCATAACAGGCGCGCTCAGTACAAGCCGCAGCCTCGGAGGTTATTGGCAATGATGATGTCGGTCACGGCGTCGAACACCACTTGGATGTTTCCTGTATCTGTGGCGCAAGTCATGTGACAGTAGATTTCCTTGTTTGGAGAACGGTTCTTGCTCTCAAATTGTGCTTGGATGTAAGCGGCCGCATCCTCGTAAGTGTTGGGCCCTGCACAGAGAAAAATGTACACACAAACATTCAGGATTATTTTTAGTTTGGAGATTATTAAATTACACTGTTCAAATATTATGAAAGAAAAATCTGACCTACTATGTTGCATGTTTTTTCAGTACATATGGTTTATTATCACTGTAGCTGCTTAATTCAGAGCATGCATTGCAACAAGCGCCCCATAAAACATACACATCCTATTACTGCAGCACTCCATCAAAGCAACGACAGAATGAGAGCAGCTACCAGATGCTTGCACCTCCTTTATTACAGCAAAATTAAACTAAATCCTAAACAAACAACAAGAAGTACAAGTCAAACACACAGATATTCTGATTATTTATTATTTCAGTTTTTGGTCAGGAAAATATTATAGAAGTTACAACTCATTACCTATTAGAGACCCCAGATATGAAATAAACTAACTGACTGTACTGATAACTATTGTAATGCTGATTTATTCTTCATACAAAAACATTATACATTATATTTTCATTTGGTGTAGTGATTCTCCAGATGATTATCTAATAAGTAAACAAGGGGAGGTTCTCACTTTGAGTTTCCAGATTCTATGACTAAAACCATCTTAAATTATAATTAAAAAAGGCCCTGTGAACTGAGAACTCTCTACCAAAAGCTCAGCGCCTGTAGCCAATCATTAACCAGCACTAACACAGCCTCCATTTGAGCTCAGCGAATTCTGCAGGGTCTGACCTTTGACATGAAGCATGACCTGTCCATATAATAAAGAAAAACTAGTATGTGTCCTCAACATGGAGGGTTTGGTAACCCAGAGGAATTGTGCTTTTAATTTATGCATATTTATTTCAGACAGATCTGGTGATGCAACAATTCCTCTAAACCCTTGAATCCGAATGAAAAAGAAAATGTCAAGGTGACAAGTTTCAGATAAATTTAAAAAGGTAATTCTGAGAAGCTCATCAGAAGAGCCGTCAAAAGGGAGCTTGCAAGTTCAGTTATCTGATTTCTGGGGAGGCTTTAAGAAACTAATTGACTTTAAAGGTCTGATAGTACACACAATTGACATTTTCAGATTTAAGCCATGTTAGAATGTTGCTACTTCCTCAAAAACAGACCTGGCGTTGTGTTTTGTTTCATTCACACATGTTGGGGTTTTCAGCTCCAGGTATGTTTTTGATGAAGAAACAACATTAACATCGATCTGAAAATAGTGTAAAATAGGCCACTTCTTTTTTCCTCCTTTTCCTTTATATGACACATGTAAAGATTAAGTAAATATTGACAGTGATGGAGGGAGAGAGTGATAGTGCCAGATGTGTTTTGTTGACTTCCTGTAGTAGCCGACATGTGGCCTATGTCAGCAGTTGTATAAATATTTATTTAACTTGGCCTGAGCTACTGCAGTGTTCTTAAATGTGTGTGTGTGTGCGCGCACCTCATTATGGAGCTGCCATTTTCTTTTTATTTAAACCAGAGCTATTACTCAGCGCTTTTAACCATGTTGTAGTTGTCTCCTCTTCTCATTTACCCTCTCGAAGTTGTATTTGGAGTGATCCATGCATGTTTGTGCAATCTTTAATTTTCAAGACGCCATATTGTCGATTATCACCCAATTTCATTGCCACCGGCATACACCCAATGCTCTGTATTTGTTCTCAACTGTAATTTTCTTGAAGCAGTGTTTTAGATGAATATTAGGACTGAAAAATGTGCAAATGATAACATAATGTGTTCTTTAATATTTCAGACATAACAAAACACACACACGCACCACCATGTCCATAACAAAAAGTGAAAAAAAATAAAAGCATTCAAGGTGTATATTGTTGTTTTGCTACATAGGCAGAAGGTTGAATTTCTAAGGGCAAAATATGTGATCATACTAACTGAAGTACTACAGGAAGTACTTTAACCTTATAATAGTACTGTGCCACTCACTGACATTGTTTTAACCCAGTGTCAGTTGACAAAGTTTATTTATTTTGTTTTGTTGAGTCCCAATCCACAAATCTACTACAATGAGCTGAACATAACAAACACCACTTTGTCCGTAGCACCCTGCCTGCTATTATTATCTTTCTTATGAAGTTCACTGAGACAAAGTACGCAGATGGACCACATTTTGCCATTTCATTTCTTCCTGTTTTACATCATTGGACAACTATAGAACAGAGACTTAACAACAGAAAGCACAGTTTAAAGGTTAACAATTATTAGGTAGAAATGAAAAGGCACATTATTACAGAGACCCTGAAAAGCACTGCCATTCATAATTCAGGTGGGTGGCAGCCGCAGCATCAGCACATTTTTGATATTTCCTTGTTTGTAAATTATTAAGTCTGTTTGACGGCTCTTTTTAGTTAGACCACCTCTTGCATCTTTCTTTTTCCTTTAAAGGGCCCATATTATGCTATTTTCTGATCTATTCTATAATACTGTTTCCTCATCAGATGCAGTTGTGTTTTGTTTCATTCACACATGTTTACCACACAGACCCTTCATATTTAGGCTGAGGACTGCTCTCTGTCCCACCTTGTGATGTCACGTGGTAATACAGGAAGTGCTACACAGTGTTTTTAAACTCCTTACACCAGGGTCTCCAACCTGTAGCTCGGGAGCTACCAGTAGCTCTTCACCCCCTTCCAAGTAGCTTGCCAAAGATTTCTGAATTATACATATTGTGCTGAATGACTCAGATTTGATGAACTATCATTGTAACTACTATTTACCTAGGATATTCCCAGTTTTGAGCCCTGTGTCCCCTGTCCCAGCAGATTTATCCAAAACCAGTGATTTGTCCCAGTTTTATACAAGAAATGTCTCAGGTGTCCCTGTTTTTGACCAATCTGATCCCTGCCAACTGTAAAGAGAGGCATACGTTATCATTTGTTTAGGTAAAATACAGAAAAGCTGCTTAAACTCACCCAAACACAAAAAAAAATGAAAATGTAAATCTGTTCTCCGTGGAGATGTTATTGTCTTGCCTGGAATGTTCCACAATATAGCATTAACAGTAACACCAGTAACACCACCAGGCCCAGCATGTTTTTCAAGGTATTTCTGAGCAACAAAAACCTGTAACTGAATAAATGCCAGATAAACTTAATGTCATACTGCGGAACATTTCAGACAATCATCTCGACAGTAACAAGCAGGGGATGAACTCTAGAGAAGTTTTCTTACTTTTCTAAACTAGTGACAATTATGTACAATTTGCGAAGTGATTACCACACATTAAATGCAAAGAGCCATTAACTCAGTTTTGGGTTTCTAGGTCAGTTTTGTTGGATGATAAAAATGTAATTATGCCCCGAAAAGGAGAATAAAAGCTGCAATTAAGAAAAGTGTGTACTCATCTTTTTATGCTAATTCAGCCTGCACCTAAAATAGCGCTGTTTCTATTGTCCTGTTTTCCTCATTTTGTAGCTTAAGTCTGCATTATGGTACACTCAGCCCAGCTTGAATGTTCACAATAATTGGATTTCAGTCGCAAACTGCTTCACTGCATTGTTGAGTTCAGTGGGAAACCAATTAAGTGCACCTGCCAGGTCACTCAGTCCATGTGTTTGTGTTTTAGCATTATATTTTTTACCTGTATATTCGGGGAAGCAGATGCTGAGCGCAGACTTCTTTATCTTCTCTGCAAACAGGTCCTTCTTGTTGAGGAAGAGGATGATGGAGGTGTCGATGAAGAACTTGTTGTTGCAGATGGAGTCAAACAGCATCAGGGACTCGTGCATGCGATTCTGAAAAAGGGAAAGGAAAAGAAGACAAATTAGATTAAGGCCAATCTGTACACTATAAAATAATGTATTCACAGCATAGATTAAGCATACAACAAATCATTATAATGCAGATAAACTACAACTTAAAAGATGAAAAAGGAAATGTTTAGATATATTTTAACTATCCAAACTATAACTCTGAAGCTTAAAGGTCCTATATTACCCAAAATGCACTCTTGTGAGCTTTAAGCCATGTTATAATGTTGTTACCTCCTTAAATATACCTGGAGTTGTGTTTTGTTTGTGTCACCCTTTATTATTAGTCTGTTTATATCTCCAAAGCTCAAAATGCTCTGTTCCAATGTCAATTCCAAAGCTGAAATTATCCAAATGACTTTAGTGAATTTGGTGAAGGTGTACACAACACACAACTCAACCTAAATATGCAGTATTATTGTGTTAAACATGTGTGAATGAAACTAAACTCAACTCCAGGTCTGTTTGTGATGAGGAAACAAGATTATAACATAGATCAGTAAACAGCATAATATCGGTCCTTTAACGCACCCAAATAAAGACCACTTTATTTGCACATTTTTGATTTAAGTAGAAAATTACTTGGCCACGCTTGCTGCTAAAGCTTTGTGAATCGCATACATACAGTATATACATACAATACACAACAACAACAAAGGATGCAGAGCAAAATTTGCAATTGAAATTACATTGATGTGAGAAATGAGTCATAATATTTTAGATACAAAGGTTGAAATCACACCTGTTTAACACTTTCAAAAACACAATAAGAAAGGAAGAATAAAAAAGCAGAATGATCCCTGCAATAATGTGTTAGCTTGTTATGCAGTAATTAATGCATTTATACAGTAGTAGTAGTAGTATCAACACAACAGAAGACAAAACAGGTTAAACAAAACAGGATTTTAACAGAATTATATAATGATGTATGAAAATAATGGAGACAGGGTAGGTCTTTGCATGTGTGTACTTTATTGTTGTTTCAATATAAATACATCTTAATAAATTATCACAGCAATGAGGCAGAAACAGTGTACAGTGCTCAAATACACCCCTCCCCTTTTACACACATATGTACAGTATGGACAAAACTAAGATGGCTCCTACTGACACGTACGTCTAAAATCTGAGGGATTGTACCTGCAATAGAGAGTTAATGAAAGCAATGGTTTCTACACTCGGGCTTTTCACTCTGACACCAGTTCATTATGGTCCTGTTTGTGCCTGGAGGCTTACACCTTCCCGTATGCAACAACAATATAACTCTACAAAGGACATCATGATTAATAATTGCAGATCTGTTATAGAATGTATTTTTTATTTCTATTTTAAGATTTTTGTTTTTGTTTTTACAGGTTCTACATTACGCAAAATCGACTCTTGTGAGCTTTAAGTCAAGTTAGAATTTTGTTACCTCCTCAAAAACATACCTGGAGCTGTGTTTTGTTTCATTTGAGTAACATTTTGTTATTAGTCTGTCTACATTTTCAAAGCTCAAAATGCTCTTCCACCTTGTAGTTTTCAAGTTAACAGGTACCTTTCGACTGAAATCATCCAAATGATTCTAGTAAAAGTGTTTTCAGTTTGAGAGAATAACTCAGCCTAAATATGCAGGATTTGTGTGTTGAACATGTGAATGAAACAAAACACAACTCCGGGTATGTTTGCGATGAAGAAACTTCTTTATAGCATAGATCAGCGTAATATAGGCCCTTTAACCAAGCAAGGCACCTATGGCATTTTAAATTGTGTATAGCGTTCATACTAAGAAAAGCATGTAGAGAATACTGCCTTAAGTGTTACCCATCTGGAGCACTGGATGCCGTAGAATAGGCTGACAGTGGGAGTAGCATGCATTATAAATGATCCACCTACTTTCTGAATGTTTTTGCAGAGATACACAGGTCAGATTATAATTTGGTGGCAGGGGAAAAAAATAAACACTTTGGCAGAATAAAATATTGGGCAAAGCGCAGTATTTGGTCTGGTTGTGCACAAAAGGTATTGATTTTCATTGCTAGTACTTCAGTATTAGATTATCTTTAGTTAAAACGCCTAGAACAGCACAATTTTTTTTATATTTTCTGGCAAAAGTAAGACACAGTTTTGGTAGTTTTAGAGAATTATGGACATGGATATAGAGAATTTCCCTGGAATAAAGAAGTATTCAGGAAGAGAGAAGCCTGTGATCCTCCTGTCAGACAGCCGGCTTTAGAGAAGTAAAAGATAGAAGGGCTCTGTCTCTGTTATAACAACGGTTACTTGGCTCTACTTCCCCTTTTTACTTTATCTGACATTACAGGCAAAAAGTTATTGAAAGTCTTACACAACTATATAACTCGGGTTCAGATTTACTACTATAATCACACAGGACAAATGAAACTCTGTAGTGTGATTCTTGAATTTAAATACCCTATGTACTTTTACAGATCTTTTTGCATACAACAGTAACGGCCTCACGGCAGTTCTAACTCCATCCATCTCTATGAGAAATTACAGAAGGGAAGTGCGAGGCTACTCCACCAGTGCATCAATATACACACTCAAGCGTCTGGATAAAATGGAAAACATGTTAGAGGGGCTTCTACTTTGACAAAAAATCAAATATTATAATGATGCTGTGAGATCGACTTCGGCAGTTAATTAATAATAGACACAATACACCAGTATCTAGAATATAGAGTTAAAATTGACTGCACTGACAACTACAGATTTACAGTTTCCCCAAATTGTTTGCATTAACACAAATAAAGGAAGGAAACACTGTGTAGTATATTGACACGCAACTTAAAATGAACAAATTCACCTATAACTGCACATTTTTTAAAATCACCTAAAACATTTAAATACATAAAAGTTTCTTTTCCAGGGGTTACAAATTGTGTAAACTATTTGGCTGAAAACTAAATAAGCATAACCAAGGTTAAATAATATCTCAGGGCTAACATCATTTGATTAATCACAAGACTAATGCACTTTGAAATGCATCTTAGTGTAACAGCTCCATCTTAAGCACAATGTGTACAACAGAATAATGAAGCCTGATATGAGCCGCAGGGTTACTGTGGTCATGAAACACGTTGGAAGACAAAGCTAGCCCACTGTGCTGCCGTGAGCACCTGAGGGCAAATACAGATGCAGGCTTCTTCTTTAATCTCACTGGGAATTGGAGCTTGTAAACGCTATACAGGAGATACTGCACAATTCTACTCATACCAACACTACAACATCAAAACTTATAAAGCACCTCGATCAGAGAACAGGTTAAGCACTGGCAAAGGCTTATGTCAGTGGCTTTTTCATTAAGAAACTCATCGCAATAAATATATAAATTTATAGTGCAAGAACATCTACTTCAATACAAGGAAAAGGATGATTGATACTTTATCCTGACAGAGCTACACAAATTACATTTTCAAATCAAAATCCACACAAACTGAAACCTTCGAATTAGTCTGACAAATGAAAAGCAAGCACCTGGATAGAATACTAATGTTTATTCAAATAACTATAAAAAGAAGCTATGAAAAATGAGCGAGTCTCATTTGAACTGAGGGGACTGTAGTATTTGGCAGTGATAAGTAAGGTGATGTGACATTTTGAAATCCCATGGGGGCATCAGACTGTCTACAACACGTGTGCAAAAGGGTAGACAGGTGCCTTCCGGGTAATTAATCCGCAGATACAGACTCCCTCACAACACCCATGGGCCAGCTCTGCCTCTCGCTCAACACGCCACACAGACACTGGGCTCTCGAGAACGCTCTGCACAGGGTTTCCATATACGAGCCAAACACAATTTGCATGTGTTCAGAGATGAGCTCACGGCAGGCCTGGGCTTCACAGATGTGGTAGATAGGCACATAGGCATTCTAATTATATGTCTATGGAGAGGCATGCATGATGTCATCTACGTGTTTAAATTCAGAAAAAGAAATAAGATAGTTCCTTTCTTTTATAAAAATAGGACACCAGATTTAATTTTCCAGAATCATGGTAAAAACGTATGCTTTATTTGTTTGCCTTTATACTGCCAAGAGTTTAAAAAAGGTCCTATATTACACAAAATTGACTCTTGTGAGTGCTGTTGCTTCCTCAAAAACAGACCTGGAGTTGTATTTTCTTTCATTCACACATGTTTGAGTAATCATGTATTATTAGTCTGTCTACATCTCCAAAGGTCAAAATGCTCTGTTCAGTCTTGTGATGCTAGTTCAGTAGAGAACTAAAGGTAAAATGTGCAGGGTTTGTGTGTTAAATGTGTGAATGAAATAAAACACAACGTCAGGTATGTTTGTCATAAGGAAATAACATTATACCATAGACCAGAACATAGTGTAATATAGGCCCTTTAATATACAGTTCTCCAGAATCATGCCAAAAACTAATGCTTTCGTTGTCGTTGTTGCTGCCAAGAATTTAACATCTGAAAATATCAATATGTCAAATAAACGTCCATTTGAGATAAAGCTGCTTAAACGGCCAACACTTTAGTATAAGGTCGTATTTCTTGTGGTCTGTCCAGTTTGACACAGTACAGGCTAATCTAACCACTGACAGACAGCTCCATATGGGAATACATGCCTCTCAAAGCGAACACGGCTCATATCTTCTGGGCACGACATCACCACTCTGCCGCCTCCACTCATCGCAAAACCCTCACTCAGCAAAAACCTCCGCACTTTATCTGTAACAAAAGGCTCAGACCTGACAGTTCAGTGCTGATTATAAACAAACATGCCATGGCCTCAATGAAATCAATACTTTTGCAGTGCGCATTTGAGTGATGTGTTGTGGATTAGCGTAGTGCAGCGCGACAGCTTAAAAAATCGATTAAGGGAAATAAAATAATACAGTGAATTCTTTCTTTCCTATGAGACAATAAAACTGTGGCACATTTCTGTCAAAAGATATAACATGACCTGGAGTGCATGAATTTGCATAATTAAATGTGCATTGTGTAATTTTTCAAGTGGAGGGTCAGTCAAATGCTTTTCTCCATGGAGCTGTTATTTCTTTGTCTGAAATGTTTCACAGTATGGTATTAAACCTTTCTATCTTCTTGAAGACCAAACCAGACCAAGTTACAGGTTAGATCTGTGGAAAAGTGACCCCGCTCACAGTCAGAATGTCAATTTTTCTAGGTATTTCTGAGCTATAAAACCACCGGTAATTGAATAAATGTAAGGCAGAGCTGTGTAATGTCATACTGTGGAACATTTCAGGCAGAGCGATGACATATCTACAAAAACAAGCAGGTGACAGACCTCCAACCAAAAAGTTACATAGTGCACCTATAGAAAATCAATTAAGGCAAATAAAATAATACAATGAACGATTTCTTTCTTATGAGACAAAAAAACTGTGGCTATTTCTGTCAAACGATACAACGTGAACTGACTTCTTCCAATGGAGTGCAAGAATTCGCATAATTAATGTAACAAAATGCTAAATAAGAAAGACACCTGACTCCATGAATAAATTACACAGGATTATCACTTGTCACAGTACATCTGATAATCTGCTTGTTCCATTGGTTCAGAGTCGTGAGATATTAGATAAATTCCTCAAGGCGGGAGAGATAAAATAGAGTACAAACACGAGCTGCTTAAGAACAGTCTGTAGCTTTGATAATGAGTTTTAAAGTTTTTTTTTTTTTTTTTTTTTAATGCAATGTAATCTGTATGTATTTGGATAAGATCTACTGAACCATAGTCATTATTAAATTACAATTTGTTTTATACTTTACAGTTTTTTTCTTTTTTCTATCTATTTTGTTCATTTTTGATAATTCTTACATTACAAAACCACATATCTACTTGGGGTAGATGAATTTTAAAATCAATAAATTAAGTGTAATAATAAAATAAATGTCTAAAAGGGGAATACAGAAACTTCCTTGACCTCCAGGCACTGTAAAACATTATATTGATACTTTGCAGGTGACGTCAACTAAGTTCTCTGGGGGTGTGATGCTAACTGGAGGCACTACTCTGTCTGAAGCTCTGCTACTCAAGTCACTCTTTAATCTGAGCTTTATTTTAACACAATCTGACCAGAAAGAGCTGACTTGGTTGTGAGCATGTGAGCTCATTTGTGCACAACAGTTTTCAATAAGTCGCTCTCACCTTTTTGCTGAAAATCAAACACCTATACAGGACCGTGAACACTTTTATCACTCATAGGCTCCTGAAAATGTGTTATTTAAATCCATTTTGTATTTTTTCTTGAGTTTCCAGACTATTAAAGACAAAAAATTGGCAGTGCTTGCTAACGTGTGCGTTGTGTCTCTGTGGTAGCTGCTGTACATTCTGCCAAAAGAGATACATGTAGAACAACCCCAGCGTGATGTAACTGCAAAGTATCAACTGGACACAGCAGTCTGAGTGGGACGTCAGGCAACACAAACTGTATCATAAACAAACATGGACCCCTTAAACACAAGTAACCTGATTGGCTGAAGCTGGGTTACATCATCAATACAGGCCACACCCCCTCAGATTATTGGCTATGATGACGTCGGTAACGGCATCAAACACAAACTGTATATTATTGGTGTCGGTAGCGCAGGTGACGTGGGAGTAGACCTCTTTGTTTGGAGACTTGTTCTTGAGTTCGTATTGAGATTTAATGTACGCGATTCCTTCCACGTAAGTGTCGGGACCTGGAGAGAAGAGAAAAGAAGACAGTGATTACTAAATTACAAGACTGTGCACACGTGAGAAAAATAATCGTGACATTTTTTCCCCATATGTTTGCATTTGGATTGGGCAAAAAGGCTTTAAAGGGCTTATATTACAAAAAAAATCATTTTGTGATCTTTTAGTCATGTTAGAATGTTGTAACCTGACCAAAAACATACCTGCTGTCCTGTTTTATTTCATTCACACATTTGAGTAATCCTTTATTATTGGTCTCTCTATGTTTCTGAAGTTCAAATTGCTCTGTTTCACCAAGTGGTAGTTTTCAAGTTAACAGCTACCTTTTACCCACCAGAGCATTAACTGTTTTTAGAGTTACTCAGCCTAAACATGCAGGATTTATGTGTTAAACATGTGTAAATGAAACAAAACATAACACTGTTTTCGATGAGGAAACTACATTATAATAAAAATCAGAAAATAGCGTAACATGTGCCATGGTTCTAAAAAGTAGTAAGTACAGCAAAAGTACTCAAAATATATTCTAAAAATGTAAGGTCCAAAACTGTGAACATAAAATCTCGCCTTGTCTCGTCTTGTGGAAATTCTTTCTCATTCCACCCTTGTGATTACATGTGGCACCTTGGCAAACATGTGAGTTTTAAAATGAGCAGCTAAAGCTCTATACCAAAGGCCTGTTCTCCACCCCTCCATCAGCATTATTGGTGATATTTTCCTGAAAACATAACCTTTAGCTTTCTTGCTCAGCACAGTTTCTGCTGAGGTGCACAGGCTGTGTGCAGTGGGCCGTGCAGCCAGCGGAGATGTAATGAATGATACACGTTTTCAGAAGAGAGGTGGCAGCGCTCTGACGAATGAAACGCTGATACAGACGGGTGTCTTTGTCATGTAAGCAGATTGTACATTAAAGAATGGATAAGATATGATTCAGCTCCTCTAACCAATCAGACTATGCTTGCTCACAAGTAGGTGAACAATTTAATTACATAAGGCAATCTAATAAAGAATAACAAATACGTAATTTGAAGATCCTATATTAGACAAAATGGATTCTTGTGAGCTTTGAGGTAACTTATAATACCGTTACCTCATCAAAAATATACCTGGAGTTGTGTTTTGTTATTCTGTCTACATCTCCAAAGCTCAAAATGCCCTGTTCTGTCTTGTGATGTCATGAAGTGGTAGTTTTTAAGCTACCAGCTACCTTTTTTCCTCAATTAAGTAGAGATTGTCAATTCCAGGGCTGAAAATATCCAGATGACTCCAGTGAAAGTGTATGGAGTTTAAAAACAATGGACTTCTTTCTGTATTACCATATGACATCACAAAGCGAAACAGTGTTTTCTGTTTGAGAGAAGTACTTGGTCTAAATATGCAGGATTTATGTATTAAACGTGTGTGAATGCAACAACTCCAGGTATGTTTTTTGATGAAGAAACAGCATTATAATATCAGAAAATAGCATAATATGGGCCCTTATTCTGCTCATATCTGGTTATTATATACCCATTTGCACACAGATTAAAAAATTATACAGATAAGCAACATAAAGTCTGTAGGATTTAGTTCCAAAAATAAAGTAGAGCAGTCTAACTTTAGCTATATTTTAAGCACACCCTGCTACACACATATGTATTTCATGATGCACATAAAGCCATCATTATGCACTTTCAGATTAACAGCCAAACACATTTGCAAAAAAGTAAACAAATTCTGCAGCTAAGAAGAACATCATTCACGTTGATAAAGTGACTCATCTTTAACGTTGCCAAAATTAGTGGGTCATTGTTAACTGTGACTGTCTGCTTTGGCTCGAGGCCATCTGAATCACTTATAATGATGTTAGAAATACATAAAATGACAATGCGCATGAATCCAGTTTGTGTTTTAAAGGGTTCATAATAAGCTATTTTCTGATGTATGTTATAATGTTGTTTCCTCATTACAAACATACCTGAAGTTGTGTTTTGTTTCATTCACACATGTTTAACACCAAATCCTGCATATTTATTTTAAGCTGTGTTCTTCTCTCAAACTGAGGTTGAACACAAGGTTGAACAGAACATTTTGAGACAGACTAATAATAAAGGATTACTCAAACATGTGAATGAAACAAAACACAACACCAGGTATGTCCTTGAGGAGGTTATAACATTATAACATGGCTTAAAGCTCACAAGAGTACAGTACATTATGTGTAATTCAAGACCTTTAAAATATTTCAAAAGAGAAAGAAGAGGGGTAATACATTTAAAATCCAAATTCTCTCTCATCGTTTTGGGCTCACGCGTCTTTCACACCGTCTAAATTTTCAGCATTTCTCACTTTCCTGCTCATTCTGTACCTGTTTCTGTTTTGTCTTGACTTTAATTCACAGCCCTGCACCATTCATCCATTGATAGTTCCAGTCTTGAAAATGATTTGCACCTAATCTCATTGTTCGTGGCAATTCATTTCCTTCTTGTGAATACTTTTAATTTTCTTATTTCCCTACAGACATCACCTAAATTTAACACATTGTATTCTATTGTGCTGAAGCAAAACCAAGTTCAAAAGAGCAATGTCCTCTTTGTCAAGTTTGGCAATTAGAAAAAATTAATGTCCAATTTGGAAAGGTGTAGGTAAAGAAATGGGAAAAATATTGGGGTACCAAAACAAAAACTGGTTTAGTTCTGTATTTGGGTTATATAACAAGAAAAGCTATATCACAGGTATATAGTATAAGGATCCACCAACAATAACAACTGGAGGGACACTATTGAAGAGATTTATATATATTATAATGTTGCAACAAACTAAATTGAGGATTGCAGGGAAAAGTGGACTGATTATCTGAATGGCAACTGACCATTTGTTGTTCTGTATACCTATTTGTTTGTTCTATTCTGCTATAATATAAAACAATTAAATATAAGTTAAAAAATGAGCAGTAACATGAAGTGGCCTAACAAGAATGACTTTGATCCACTGTTGTTGGTTAGTTTTTTCAGCAGATTGCACTGTTTAATTACAGATATACAGATTCAAGACTGGAAAAAGATACTGGCATAGATATAGAACTTTTTTATGGATACTAGGATATCAGTTCCAAGAACTGGTTCAGTCAATATCCCATTTTGGTCTGTAATTGGTGAAAGAAGATGCTTGTTGGCTCAAAACACCTTGTAATATTTTTTGTAAGTTGTTCTGTAGTTACTTTAAATGATAATTGAATTGAACTGAATGACGATTTTGATAGGATGATGATTTTAAGGTGTTGAGAGAACTGTGTGTGAATGATGATACATAATTGTGAAGATGCTCTGGTCATTATAAAGGCATTCTCCATGTATGTTTGATTTTATGAACTATAACATCAACCTGCCCAGGGACTACAGGTGGAAATTAGCACTTGCGCTACAACCTGGTACGATGCATCTCTCCTGTTAAGGTTAATGTATAATGTGCACTGTCCTGGTCTCATTAAATAAATAAACTAAACTAATACATAACAGTTACAAAGCAGATTTGGATATATGTTTTTTACCATATGTCATTTACGTTTATTTTCAGTCTCTACCCTAGTATCAGTTGATATCAGACTAATACATCAGTGTCGGAACAGAAAAAGCGTGATAGGTGCATCCTTATTTACTGCTATATTTGTGTATAATGAGATCATGTTGTGGTGTTTATACCAGTATACTCGGGGAAGCAGATGGACAGAGGAGACTTTGTGATCTTGTTCTCAAACAGGTCCTTCTTGTTGAGGAAGAGGATGATGGAGGTGTCCTTAAACCACTTGTTGTTACAGATGGAGTCAAAGAGCTTCAGAGACTCGTGCATGCGGTTCTGTGATGGAAAAGGCAGAAATCAGTGTCCTCAAGATACGCTGTAGATAAGAAAATACTTCAATAAGGGATAGTTCCATGATTCATTTGTTTAGAAGATGATTGAGAAAGGTGCACTGCCCAATATTTCTGGTGGAGGGTCTGCTCCTTATTTGTCTCCCTGGAGATGTCACTGCTTTCCCTGCAATGTTCCATGGTATGACATTAAACATATACATCTAGCAGTTATTAATTATGATTTCTATTGCACAGAAATACAATAAATCATTCTGTGAATCTGGGCGACTCTAAACAGATCTGAATTGCAGTGTAGCGTAGTGCTGTTATCTGCTTCACTCCCTCTTGATAAATAGGTTTAATAGGTACTGTGGAACATTCTAGATAAAAAAATAACATTTCCATGGAGGTAAGGTGGCGGACCCTCCACTAGAAATCAGAATTTACTTAATATTGGCCAGACTCCAGCTCAAACTCGTAAAATAAAGGATAATCAAGCACAAATTATAATCAATAAGAAACCAATGATCATAATGACAATAAAATTAAATCAAACAAAGCATAAATAAAATATGATCCAGTTAAAAGATGGCATGTTTCCTGTTTATTTGTAGTTCAGTGGATGTGTGTATTAAGAGTTATTAGTACACAGCATGCTGCCAGTGAGGAGTATAAGCCATGCACTTTGAACAGCTGTGAGCCACGTCCCATGTTTTAAACCCACAAACTACTGGTAACTTGTAATTACTCTGCGATTTACGTAGCAGCATGGAAACACTTTAACTGGAGTTTAGACTTTAAACTGCTGTTATTGTGGTAAGTCATCTCAACATGGGACTTTTTAATAGTCACTGAACAGGATTTTTTTCATAAACAGTTCTACAGTTTTAATGCTGCTCATATTTATATTTATATATTTACTTGTATATATACATTTTATAATTATTCCTTATTTGACACCAGTCTCTTGCTATTTTTGCTACTTATTTAGAATTTATTATTACTATTATTACATTTTTGCTCTTATTTATTATATTTATTGTGATGTGTGAGCTACTGTATCAAAATAATTTCCCTTGTGGATCAATAAAGTTTGTCTAAGTCTTCAGTTTCAAGTAAATTAAGTTTCAATGTCATCAGCCACATGCTGAAAATTACAAATTAGCTCATAATCAGAATCCATTCAATATACCTCCTTATAATTGTAAAGCAGATTCTTTGTTGATCATTCACTTACAGTAGATAAAAAAAGAAAAGAACATGCAAAAGCAGTCATACAGCACATAAACCTACGGGGAGTGTCCATACCTGCCTGTGGGTGGAGCATCTGCAGTGGATCTGACTGCTGATTGGTTAGAGAAGACAGTCGGAGGCGAGAGTGACAGGAGGAGCGCAAGGAGCCAGAGATGCTGCAGGGTAGAGCTTAGAGCGTGAACAGGAAATGCAGGGAGGACCCGGGTTACACCATAGACCCATTGCCCTTATGAATGTGCGTGTGTGCTGTAACCTGTATAAAGAGCTGTCAAATGAAGCTCACGATGCTACAAGTTATACAAGCAAATTTCGAGCCTTGTCCATATTAGGAATAGGAATTTATGAACGGATAAAAAGGCAAAATAAAATCACCACAATCATGTAGAGCGGGTTAATACAGACATTTTCATACCAAAATGACAAGGCTCACTACTACAAAGAAAGGGGTGACAATTTCTCAATGTAAACTTAATTGGAAACTCTCGATGGAGCCACAAGCAACTTCACGAACACTTCCTATTTGGAACGCAGCGGCAAGCGGGTTAGCTGTGGTAATTTATATATTATATACAGTCTATGGTGTGTGCCCTTCCCATGTGTGTGTGTCTGTGTGTGTGCATGTCCGCGTGTGTTTGCATGTGTGTGTGTGTGTGTGCGTACTTCTAAAAAACACATGTCAACCCCTGATCCCAAAGTACACGGACAGTACAGAGCTGCAGAGAAGTGTCAAGTGAAAGACTGTACAGAGAGAGAAAAACATGATGCAAGCAGTCTGTGAATATAAAGAGAGTTATAAAAGAATAACTGTGTGCATTTTGTGCCCTGTTTAGGCAAAGCTGTACTTCGACTTCAGCGGCTCTTATGTCTTCATCTTATTTTTCTCATGTCATGTGCCAAAACAAAACAGATGCAACAGGAACAATAGCCTGTTTTTCCCCTTTACTGTACCACATTATGATCACAGACAATGTTCTCAGTATTCAGATAAGGATTTGCATATTCAAACTGTCTCCACATTTCCATTATTAGTCACATGCAAAACATTTTTGCTGGTATTGACACTTTCCAGTGACATCATGCTGGGGGTGTTATACATGTATGTGTATTGTTGAAATGTTTAGAAGTCATTATGGTGACTCAACACACACATTAGCAAACACGGCCAAAAAGTTTTAAGAATGTCTGAAAACTCAAAAAGAAACACACAATTGATTTAAATAACACATTTTCAGGAGTCTGTGATAAATACGAGCGTTCATGGTCATATTTAGGTGTTTGATTTTCAACAAAAAAGGTGAGAGCGACTAACTGAAAAACTGTTGGCTAAAGCTAGTGACTGTCATTTGATGTCTGACAGACTTGTTTAGCAGCACAAATCATCTCACCGGTTGTAGTTCCAGCTAAATCAGCTCTTTCTGCTCAAATCGTGTTAAATTAAATCTCAGATTAAAGTCTAATTTGAGTAACAGAGCTTTAGACAGAGCACTGCCTACAGTTAGCGTCACACCTCCAGGGAATATTCATGACATCAGCTGCAAAGTATCAATAACGTGTCTTAACTTAAAAAGTAAACCTTGTAATATATATTGACTGTTGGAGGAATATTATCAGCTGCTTTGACATTGCTTCTGGGGGAAGTGGTCATATGAGTTTTTATATCTCAGTCAATACAAACCCAGTTATGGTTTCGACTAAATGGACCTGGTGTGTGCTATATATAAAGCATGAGAAATCCATTAAAGTAGATCTAATCACCTGACGCCACACACTGTAATATGTATATTTGTTCTAGTGATACTTTGCAGGACATCAAGCTGGGGGCGTTTTACATGTATCTCTATTGGCAGACTGTTCATCAGTTACCACGTTGACACAATGCAAGCACTAGCAAACACAGCCATAAATGTTTTAAGACAGCCTGAAAAAAATACAAAATAGATTTTAATTTTAATTCCATGTGCTCCAGTGATGTCAAAATTGTACTTTTTAAATGTTTCTGCTCTCCCTTGTACATCTTTGGTGCAACTACATGAAAAAGAGTTTGCAGAGTTTGACAGTGGCCTATAATGAGTCTTTGACAATATTACTGAAAGTGCGGAGGTTTTGTATCGCCAGTGAAATGTTTGTAAATTGTGGTGTGAGACCCTGTGTTGTCACGATGACATGTTATATTTATTCATTTATATGTAGAGCAATGAATCTGAGCAATCAAATCATTCAAGCTCTAGTGTATCATGTGAGGAGCTCTGTCAGATTCACCTCTAAGCTGTGTAGAGCTGTGGCGCTCTTGTCTGTACTCATTATAACTTGCACTGTATATTTAAATTTTTTATTCTTACCATTTTTTTATACTAAGAACCAGATATTATGTGTTCTTAATAAAGATTGCATTTAAACAACACGTTTTCAGGAGCCTGTGATGAATACGAGCATTCACAGTTAAGGTGTTTGATTTACAACAGAAAAGGTGAAAGTAACTAACTAACCAACTGTTGCTTAATGCTGGCAAGCTTGTGACTGTAATTTTAAGTGAAAGAGACTTGCTGAAGCGCACAAATCAGCTCACCTGTTGTGGTTCCAAACAAGTCAGCTCTTTCTGGTCAGTTTGTGTTAAAACAAAGCTCATATTAAATGTAACTTGAATAGGGTGACCAGACGTCCCTATTTACCCGGGACAGTCCCAGTTTTGAGCCCTGTGTCCCCTGTGTCAGCAGATTTATCTAAAACCAGTAATTTGTCCCAGTTTTACACAAGAAATGTCCCAGGTGTCCCTATTTTTGACCAATTTGTTTCCTAACAACAGTAAAGAGAGGCATAAATTGTCATTTTAGGTCAAATGCAGTTTTACTATTACCAACCACCTCAAACCAGGGCTGTCCCAGTTTTTTATTTTGATAATCTGGTCACCCTAAACTTGAGTAACAGAGCTTTTAAAAGAGTAGTACTTTCAGTTTGCGTCACAACCCTGGAGAATGTTGATGACGTTAACTGCAAAGTATTATTGTTCTATAATCACTTTTAATAATAATAAAAAAAGGACTGAGGTCTGTTACCACAAAGTGTTAGTGAGATAGCACAATTTCTGGCAGCGTAATTAAATCTAGTGCAATAATCCACCCAAAAGAGGGAGGAGTATAATTATTAGCACTAAAGAGAGGGGGTGTTCATTTCCAAGCTGAACGTGCACTGCTCTCACTTTGCCAACAGCGCTGCACAGGAGACAGGTCTGGTGGCACTGATAGAGGACGTGGGAGCCTTTCAGAAACATTTGGTTGTTTGTCGGGTAATTAAAACTCCCACATTTGTGTTTGCTCGTTTACAAATGTTACAGTTTATTTGATTGTGTCTCAGAGGAAAACTAGGGCTACAGCTGATGCTATGGGGGCAGAGAGGAGTAGGGCTAATGCAGTAATAGGCTTTGTATAAATGCATTGGTCCACATGAGGACAGTTTGTTTAAAGGGCCCATATTACACTGTTTTCTGATCTGTGTTGTAATGTTGTTTCCTCATCACAAACATATTTGGAGTTGTCAGATGAAGAAAAGAGGTAGAGCGCTTCACTGGGTCACAAAAAAAGTTAAAAATAGCAGTAGAGGTGCTTTACGAGGATTAAACTAGTAATCTTAAGTTACCCTTAAGGAAAAATGTAAAAGTGGTCAAGGTACAAACCAGAGACACTACTGAATATATTATCTTTTATTACATGAAAAGGACGCCAACGCATTTTGATCAGCAAGGTCTTCTTCTTTATGCCCTGACGAAGACCATCTTGCTGGCCGAAATGCGCTGGTGTCCCTTCATGTAATAAAGGACTTAAATTTTTCAGTTGGAGTGCCTCGGGTTTGTACATTGCCCACTTTTACATTTTTCAGTAAGGGTAACTTACTTAAGATACCTGGAGTTGTGTTTTGTTTCACACAGATCCAGCATATTTAGGCTGAGTTTTTTCTCAAACAGTCTCTAACACTCTGTTCCACCTTATGAGGTCATGTGGGAATCCAGGAAGTGTGCTTTAACCTCTATACACCTTTACTAAAATCATTTGGATCATTTCAGTCCTGGTAGCTGTTAACGTCACAAGGTGGTACATCAGCTTTGGACATGTATCCAGTCTAATAATAAAGATTACTCAAACATGTGTGAATTAAACAAAACACAAGTCTCGGTATGTTTTTGATGAGTTAACAACATTCTATCATGGCTTAAGCTCATAAGAGTAAATTTTGAGTAATATAGGACCTTTAAGATCTTTCTCCTGTGCAGTAGTGTTGCACAAATATGCATACAGGTGAACTGCCTGACAGCTACAGATACATTTCCTGGTGTAGCCTGTGTAGTGCAGCTCATGTGGGGGTGTGCTATGATGGATCTCTCCTCTCCTTATGTGACGCTCCTGTGGTGCTCCCAGCTCAGAGGGGTGTGTGATGACATCTGCATAAATAGAGCAGCTCCTGATCACTATTTCCCAGTCCAAACTCCCACAGGACATGTTCAACACTTAAAAATAGCACCACACACTATATTGTTCTTTTTCATCCACCTGATCACCAGAGGGCGATGCTTAAAACAACCAGGATTCATTGTGTTTTAAGGCCTTAGTAGAGTGGTTTCATTGGACTGTTTTGTTAACAGTAATGGAGCTCAACAGTGACCGCCTGCTCTAGTTCCAAAAGCATATTTTCCATTCATTTTTCCCCTAGACTTTTCAAATATCCATAACGTAGCCATTTTAAGCACATTTAAGACGCAAGATTCAGCCAACTGCTTTAATAACATAGCAGTTTATAAAGTTTCAAAAACAAAACAAAATAAATATAGGTCTTGTGGTCATTACTTTAGTTACCACATAGCTGATTATGCCTCACCAAGCTTTCAAACGTTTAATAGTATTATTTCTTTGGAAAGTCAATGGGAACTTACTTCCCGCACCAAGGGCTGGGCGCTGACTGTTGAGCTCCATGTTCTATTAATAATTTGCTTGACAATTTGCAAATAGCAAACAGAAATGATTTTGTATTATTTAAGAAGTGTTTCTGATTTGCATGATATACATCTGCTTTTTGACTGTTTCTGGAAGGAGGTATGCAAAGTTTCTAATCTAAGGGAAAGATCATGAGCTACAAAAACTGAATAGACAAATGCATCACAAGCTTTGGTTTCCTAGTTTCCAAATACATGTTTTTTTCTTTTGCATTACACTATCTTGTCTTTTAATATGCATTGTCCCTTTACTAAATAAATAAAAATACAACCCAAGTGAAAAGATTGTGTCTGACATTGACACCTTCATGTACCAAGTGAATATGTGAAAAAACAGCTCCATACCATTCTCATATACATGTTTTATAGCTGGTTACATCTGTGCAAATGCAACACCTAGTCCACATTTTGAAAGACCTCAGGATGTTACTTATTCAAAAATGGAGAAAAGGGGGCAGTCTGTAGGTGCACCTACCGTGGTCTCATCCTCGTGCAGCACCTGGTCATATCCACTGAGCGCCACACAGAAAATAATGGCTGTCACATCCTCAAAACAGTGGATCCACTTCTTCCTCTCTGACCTCTGACCTCCCACGTCAAACAGCCTGGAGACGAAAGGAACACAGATGGAAAAATGTATTATTTTAACGAAAGCCATCGCAAGAAAAAGGTTCTAATGTAAAGGTTTTTTGTATTATTATTTTACAAATTCAGAAACAACTTTAGTGTAAATGCTACTCTTGAAGGACATGTATTTTCTGGTGGTCCTGCTTATCTCCATGGAAATGTTCTCGTTTTGTCTGGAAAGTCCTGGTGTGCCATTAAACGTATCTTGCATTTACCCAATAAGACGGGTTTTTATTGACCTAAAAACTTGAATTCTTGCTGTGAGTTGGCATGTCTCTCCACAAATCTGACATGCACTGTGCTGTCAACTGCTGTCTCTGCAGAGATAATTAAGTGTAATGCCATACTGTGAAACATCCCAACAACATGGAACAAAGATTCTTGAACTTAAAATAGGAAATTAAAACTTATTTTGCTTGAACTGAGAAAAAACCTACCTAGATATAGATAGATTTCGTTTGAATATTTGTAGCCTAACTTCCACATTTAGAATATAGTGCTTTAAAACAGGAGTATATGTGATGGACGGTTAATGGACTACACCCTGTACAGGAACACAGCAGCCTCCCACACACTGCCTCGCGGCCAGTAATAGCAAAAGAGCTGACAATATTTAGGCCTTCAAAAAGAGAAGAGCCAAGTATACCACCTTCTCAGCTGTGAAAGCAAGAGACTGGGACACACTACCCCTCTGTGAAATTCCTATGTACCGCACACATGAAAGCAATGAGAAATGCCCGCTGCCAAGTACGTGGTAATAATTGGAAGTGAATTCATAGTCCTAGCTTCATGTAAAAGGTATCCTCCATGGCATAGTCATATTACTAGGCCTGTCACAGTAACTAATTTTGGAGACACAATAACAATAACACAAGATAATCCTTGTAAACCAATTTTAAATAGACAGTATCATTAAAAGGACTAAGCTGCAACAAATACATAACAGAATGAACCAATAATTAGATAGATAGATAATAAGTTTATTTATCCCAAAGGAAATCAATTTTTCAGGCAGCACGGTGATTCATAATAACAATAACATCCGTAATTCAATTTACAGAGATGCGTTGTGTAGCTGTATGGTGTGTGGAGTTATAATTTTGAGAATTAAGTCAGCTCAAATAGTATTGTATTAAAACAAAACCACCCCAAATCACTCCACTTTTACAAAGAAGATACATTTTGAGCCCCAAAAGATATTGTTGTATATTGAACGATAAGCTGATATAGTAATTATTGTGACAGGCCTATGTGTTACCTTTTGAATGGACATGAGTAAGATGGACAGATGGGTTTGTCACTCACCTGAAGTGGAGGTTTTTGAAGGTAAAGTGTGTCTCGACGATTCCTGTGGTCTTGACTCGGGTCCTCAGGATGTCCTGCTCTGTGGGCTGGTAATCGGCCGCTCCAATTCGATCTAGACTGTCTAGGTAGCTGCACAGACACAGATATAACAGAGATACACTGTTCAGAGCACTGGCAGGGAGTTTAAACTAAATAAACATGAGATTATCTGTGAACACTTCAAATCTGGCCTTTTACTGTTCTGTGTTATGACTCTTTGAAACAGTTTTATTGTTTGTATTGCATATAGTTGAGATATATTTTTATTACTTTATTCCTATATTTTATTCTATTTTTACTTGCACATATACATGCATATAACAATGCCTTATTTGACATCAGTGTCTTGCTATTTTTGGTACTTATTTAGAATTTATTATTACCATTAATGTCCCTTGTGGATCAATAAAGTTTGTTTAAGTCTAAGTCTAAGTTTTGTATTTTATAATTTATCTCTGTGTCACCTGTCTATTGGGACAACAAATGGAAATTTTAAATTTTTGCTATAATCTCTCACATTTACACTGTAAATACAAATGTTAATATGCATTGTCCCTATTAAATATATAAGTAAATAAACTCAAGTAAAACATATGTCTAATATCTATGGCAAAGATGAAGACACAACCATTACAAGAAAACAAAAGAGTCACTGCTGTTGGTTTTTTGGTCATAAAGTTAAGATAAATAATATAATCAAATGGACACTGCTTAGATCAGAGGGGTAATTTTACTTTACATAAGGGCATTTACTGACATCTTGTGGTTTAAGTATTTGACCGTAGTCCTTTACTCATCTTAAAGGTATACTTGTTATGAAACACTCCTAATCTTTTGGTTTAGGGCAGTATTCATTGGCTGGTGTGGCCATAGTTGGAGAAAAAAAAAAGCATTTCTGCAATACCATTTGGTTCCACAAGAATATATCATGATCATTTTGTACAGTAAGGGGTGAAAATTACATTCTTAATCTCTTGATGCTGAAACCAAATCAGTCTGAATACAACCTCAGAGATTCAGCTGCCGGTGAGAACAAAGGGGTGACTAAAGTACTTTATGAGTCCAATGTACAACTGGAGAGAGGCATTCTATCTGTCGACCTCACAATCAAGCAACTCATAGACTCTTAATTGTTCAATGATGGAATAATAGTGACAATTTTCAGTGTCAATCAGTTGAATGTTTAAAATAAATACCAGATACTTTAAAAACAGCGTAGATTCCACCATGTAGTAACGGTCAAGACATTTACACAGTAAAGATATGTAAGTAAAATGCATTCATTTTATCAAGATGAACACCTGAAAAAGGAGTATGTTATCAAAGTGTGGATGAATTGGTTCAGATGAACCGTGTGAGTTTACAGAGGGCAGAAACCCTGCCAGTCCTGATTCTTGTCACTTCCCTACAGCGATTGGCAGAGTAACTTCGAGATGCAATACTACCACCAGCTGAGATCAAGCAAAGTCAGCCCCAAGACCAAGTAGATCAGCAGGATAATACTGGAGATGTCCACATATCTTCAACTTAAAATATATTTGCTAAAGTGAGATATTTTTAGAATACACAGAACCCTCAGAAAACTCAAAAATGGTCCTTTCACATAATAAGAATTGGTGGCAATTGGTGCTGAAAGCTAAAATCTCATATTACATTCACAATTGCATATAGTTCCTAAAAGAGAAGCTAATGTGAACCCATGCTTTCAGACAGCAAATACATAATGAACACAACTATCCCAATAACACAAAACAAAAATACTGACAACGCTAGTTGAGACAAGAATAACAAATTAGACCCGTATAACCTTTCCCTCATCTGAGCTCATAGGCTCCCTTATGTTTGATGCTTTCACTGTGTATCAGTTACTGGAAAAACAGTAGGCAAAGCTAGTGTTATTTTGCATAAGGGCCTGTTGTCTCTCTAGGAGGGGCATGCAAAAGAAATAACTGACATGTGACCATTCCCATGGAGCTGATTTACACATGCTGTGCTATCTGTGAAGAGAGACAGAATTAGCTGCTTGCTCAATCTGTGGATTAATACTGGTCCCCAATGCCTGCTTGTCTGAAGTCCCCACTGGTGCAGTCGAAAAGATTACCACAACGAGGTACAAACACAGACATCACATCGGCATCAAGGTGATAATGGAAATCATGCACAGGGCTGTTCTCAGCACAGACCAGTAAAACACAAGGGCTGTAAACATGAAAAATCCATAATTTAAATAGTAATAAATATTGGCAGGGTAAATCTGGATACACTGAGGACTTTATGTGGTGATGAGCCCTTATATAAGATTTACCTCCAAATGAAATACAACTGTGAAAAGAGCTCATTAATACAAGTGCATTGGTTCTTCTTGACTCCTCTCACATTCAATCACGACATCAAGAACAATTAAATTCTTTCTCCACAATGTCAGATATATTATACTAGATATATGACAACAGAGGCAGCAGGGATGTTTCAGCAGGCTATGTACCACCACTCTCGGTGTAATTATATTATGGGTGTAAAAAATTTGTGCCACAAAACCTAACTTGAATCTTACATTTTGAAAACCATAAGTAGTTCAAATTAACATGCATGATATACAAAATGGACACCTCCACCACTAAGGGATAAACTTGAAGTCTACTGTTGGTGCAGTCACTAGGTCTGTGGTTAGAGGTGATTGTGAGGTGCCCTGTGAAGCTCAACAGTGGCTGCCTGCTCAGTACCAGAAATACATTTCCATTAATTTTTCCCATAGACTGTAGACAGGAAAAATTCTATTAAGAGTTCAAAGGCATTGCAGAGGCTAACCAGCTATACTAATATTCATAACATGGTTTCTCCAAAAAGCATATTTAAAATGCAAGATCCAGAGAAATGCTTTAATAATTAGTGGTTTATAACATTTTAGAAAAATAGTTTAAATACAGTTATAGATCTTGTAGTCATTACTCATGTTTTGGAAAGTCTAAGAAATTTTCCTCCAGAATCAGGGGTCACTGTTGAGCTCCACAGATATACTGTCCAGTGACTACAGTTGAAAATTTGGTGTGCAGCTAAAACAAATGAATGAAAGTAAAATGAAACTAAATGAAACTAAAATTAATGTGCACATTTTCCTGTTCAAATAAAACATTAAAAATGAATTGGTCACGCTGGAACCTTGACCAAAAATAGCCCAGTCTTTGCGATGGTTAAACGTTAATTAACGTTGCATTTTAATTGCTGGCTATTGTTGGCCACACTTATTTAACTAAACTACAAAGATACAGTATGTAGATCTTAAGAACATACAATGCAGCTGCCTAATCCTAATAGAAGGTTAGAGGTATTTATTTCCAAGTAAGATTTTGTATTGGAACTTCCTGTATGTAATTATCCTTTCTACTGAGTCACACTGCCAAAACTAATAGACCATTTCAAGTGCTCTACAACCCTGCATCAAGACAAACAAGTGTACAGTAAAAGCAGCAGGAGGGACCAAGCCATGTTGGTGTGAAAAGGCTTTACTGTGTTAAGTCCTATGACATTAAGCCTGCAATTCAACGTGTAATTTTGATCATAAAGTTAAAACATGATACATATAAATCATGTCTATAAGCCACTGAAATGCACCACTTTACTAAGAACTGCTTTCATCATTATACAGTATAATATGCTAAATTAGCCACTTCTTACTAGTCTAAGAGCCATTTTTTGTTATAATCACCAAAGAACATCCCATTATGAAATTGTATTGATTGTCTGCTTCCTTTAGAAAGGGTGAATGGAGGAGTGTAGAAAGTGAAGTATGTTTTCACGTGCTTGTCCCCTGAGAGGTCAGCTCCTCCACCGTCTCATTTCACGCTGTTGCTGGGTGACTAACAGTTAAGATGTCTGCTCCACTGTTATGCTCTGATATTTACAGCTGGCTCTTGTCATATCCATATGATGCAACATGTCTATTAAATGATGTGGTACAGTAGCACAGTTAGGTTAAATCAGTAGCCACTGAAGTTATGTAAAAGAAAAATCACTATGCACAGTGAGGAAGAAACTTGGGGGCAAAAAGAAAGAAGGCATCATATTGTCAGTCCCTGTAGGTGCCGTCTGCTGTCATCTTCATCTTCATTACAGAGCTCCAATATTTTGGAGACTATTATGTAACCAGAAATAACTTTGGCTTTGTGTACTTCGAGGAGTTTCCACAAATGTGCATAACATCTACAGTGTGGTGTCATGTGGTGAGATCTGACTTTTCAAAAGACATTATAAAGTTGTGGTAAAATACGCACCAAGAACTAATTATTATGAGTGAGTGAGAGAGAGAGTAAATTTGAAATGACATTTTGATGTGGTTGAAGGATTGTGTGTAAACAGGGTGTGATTTAATACTGTCTATAAAGGTCAGGGCCAAAGTGGTGGGATGTAAATTAGAGCCACAGCATGTGCATTGTGTTAAATAGGTCAGTGTGTAGGGCAAAGAGGTGGCTTCAGGCTGCACTTGTTACTGAACAAATACATTCAAAAACACATCTCATGCCTGTGTGAACACATTATACTTTACTGAAAGCCTTAATGTTACCTGCCACCAACATCCAGACAGGCAAACATCCCCATAAGACCAGCTACTTTTATTACTGCTAAAAGACTTTAAGAAAGGAAACATAAACCACTGTGGTTTGATCACGTGATTGGTGTCCTATGATTTCATTGGTCGGTTAGTCTGTTCTGCTCCACAGGCCATCACATAATAGGAAGTATGCATCAATCTTTAATGTGACATTTACCACAGACACACAAACTACTATATCCAAGCACACACAGAACAGAGAGCTGCTGAGGGTAATTGACCACATGGTTAACAGTTTCACTTATAAACAAGTATCCATCAAAGATTACACATTAAGTACTATAGTTTATAGAAGACAACAAAAATAGCTTCCCATAATTCATTATAAGGGTTTTAAAGTGGTAGTGTTATAGGTCATCAAAAAAAAAAAAAAAAAAAAAAAGATCCCGTATTCTTCACAGTACTGCAGACAGCTCACTCTATAATATTATAGAATGATCAAATTGAGTGAGTGAGGCCAATTTCGACTAATCTGGCTTCCCTTAATGTGGTCCTGCACTATACGAATGACTAACTAATGTAGCCAATTACCCCAGTGAGCTGGAGCGAGCAGGGCACTGAAGCTTTTTGTGACCTTTTCCTGGATGAACATTATGAGTCAATAACTCATTAACATAAACATACAGCCCAGGTCCTTCAGAGAAGAACACAAAACCATACACAGCTCCGCATCATCTCTCTCTGTGCCACTGGATGTCATTTAGCAGGATGTATGGAGAACCATTACAGAAGCTACATGCAAACTGTGGCACTTGAGGCAACGACTCTGCCCTCCATCCACACTCAAGCACTCAGCATAAATCACAGCTACAGCTCGTATGGTGATTGACGGCTCTCTGTAATCGCCGCTGTATGATCGTGTTTAGGAGATTATAAATAAATGGCAGAGAGTCTGAGAGTTGCATGTTTCTTTCAGAGGCGATTAGGCCAAGGGGGGTAATGGCATGTTCATTGATCAAGTCTGTGCACTCTGGACATGTGGAGTAACCTGTACATACACACACACTCCTGTTTGTGCTGAGTCAGGGGCATATAACAGAATAGGTGCTCTCCAGTGGAAGGACATAATTGGCTCATTGCCTCTCATTGCACTATCCACAATCCCCATTCTGTCACAATCCAAAATCAATAATGAACTATAAAATAGACATAATGTATATTAAAATAATCTGAACGTTTATGAAAATATGTATAATGAGATACTGTATGTTTGAGATATGATGTGGTCATGATAACAATGATAATTACTAGTAGGCCCTATAACATGAAAAAAAAAAGACAAATAATGTTTTCTGAGGGTTGTTGTGATTGTAATTTTTGTGCCATTGAAGCTCTACTTACTTTTTTTAACTTTAAGTGGCTGTGCCAGAGAGAACCTGAGTAGTTGAGCTGACTCCAGTAAGATGCTCTTAAGGTAGAAATAAGTCTGCTGTGTGCTGTCTGAATCTAATTATAAAATGTTTTATTGAACCAGAAGGTGCGCTGTTAGAATGCTAGTTGTTTTTAGAAGTAATGTGTCGGTAAAACTCCACTCTGGTCTTAGGATGCTTGGAATGCATATGGTAACTGATGAATAACATTTGGTTGCTACACTGCTACAAAAAGTAGTTGAGTTTCCATTTTTTGAAGACAATAAAAATCAGGTCCAGCACCTTTACATAGGATGATGCCCCATAGATTGGTACGGAAATGTGCCTGTACCAGTGATCCTGTGTGTTACGTACTACTGCGCGGAGTCGTTGAGCTGGTACTCGCGGGCACGGCTGAAGCACTCCTGGATGCCCGAGTCTGCCCACAGACGCATCATGGCGGACAGCAGCTCCGCAGAGTACGGCTCTGTGTCCTCCATACGACTGACCACATCACACACCATCTTCGCATCCGCCTGGAAAACAAAACACAAGGGCGCAGGGTTAGTAGATCAAGAGGTCTTCACATCGTTGTATAACTTCCAATTATTGTGCTAATATCCCAGGCTAATGTTGTAGCATTGGTGTAATTACTGCAAACATCATTAACATAAAGAGTCTGTATAGGCCAGGTATATAAACTCATGCTTGTTAATTAGTTGTAATGCAATAGAGCTAATCATTTCTCACAATTATGATAATAATAGTCTAAACTACTTCCTAATTAATGGATTTTCTTTAGTTAATCAAAACCTACGTATGTTTTTGTGTTCCTTATTTCCACTGTTGCATCCAGAAACCTTTACTATGACTCACTGAACAAACATTTTAAGTTTTGGATCAATGTTTAAAGGTGCGCTAAAGGTGTAACTATGTAACTTTATAGTTGTGGGTCCATCACCTGCTTGTATTTATGGATCTGTCATTGCTCTGTGGAATGTTCCACAGTATGACATTAAACAGCTGTACTTTACATTTTACACTAGTTTTATAGCTCAAAAATACAGAGAAAAACAGCTGGGCTGACTGAGCAGGATTGCCTGTCCACAGATCTGACCTCTAACTTGGTCTGGTTTGGTCTCCATAATGATAGAAAGGTTTAATGCCATACTGTGAAACATTTCATACAAAGCAATAACATCTCCATGGGGAAAATGCATTTGACGGACTCTCCATCAGAAAAGTTACATAATGTGCCTTTAAATACACGGCAACAACTTTATTTATAGGAATCTAAATTAAAACAGCAAAATTCTTACTTGCTAGTTATGTTTTATAAAGCTTGATACTGATACATGAGATTCCCAATCACCATACTGTATTGTTTGTGCCCTGGTTAACTCTCAAAAGTGTTTTCTTCACAGTTATAACAATAACTGCTGGATGGGGAAATGACCTGGCCTAACACACCATTTAATTTGTTATTAATAAGTAAAGAATTAATAGTGGAGGATGAAATTAAAAGGGATTGAAGGCTAGGGAAAAAATAAGATATAAAGTGTGTCTTCACAGCAAGTCTTTAAAAAGCCCATATTACACTATTTTCTGATCCCTTTTCTAATGTAGTTTCCTCATCACAAACAAACCTGGAGTTTTGTTTTGTTTCGTTTCATTCACACATTTAACACACAAAACATGTATATTTAGGGTGTTCCACCTTGTGATGTCATGTGGTAATCCAGGAAGTGCTCCACTGTGTTTTAAACTCCATACACCTTCACTAGAATCATTTGGGTAATTTCAGACCTGGTATTGCCAATCTCTAGCTGTTAATATGAAAACTACCACTGCATGACATCACAAGGTGGAAAAGAGCAATCTGAGCTTCTGAGTTGTAGACAGACTAATAATAAAGGATTACTCCAACATGTGTGAATGAAACAACACACAACTCCAGGTATGTTTTTATGACATGGCTTAAAGCTCACAAGAGTCAATTTTGAAAAAAACTTTAATAAGGCACTGCATCTATTTCAACAAAAACAAAGTCACACTATCGTGAATGCATCATTGTAGCTGACAGGTGATATATGGCATTTTAAACCCTACCTGCTCTCACTACAAGCAGCTCTATTCAGTGACAAAGCCAATGTGCCCCTGGGTATGACCACGTAGCGATGAGTAAAACCACGCAAGGCTCCACTCTCCACTGCATCTTTCTCCAGAGGCTAAACCCAGCCCCCACCCCATTCCTCCCAAACGCTCTTATGCTTATTGATTTCTGCTCCAAGAACTAGCATCCGGCAGCACATGATCACTCCTGCTTCATGTAACATTGCCTGGACACCAACGCCCTGACCTTCCTACAACTAACATTTTATTGGCTGTGCTTGTACAACACTGCTCCATTGAAACATATTGAGCCGTGGAGGTTAGACATTATTCAGCACTGTCTCTGTAAAACGCTGGTCTTCAAACACAATCAAATTTTATATATAATTCAAAGGGTCTTCTGATCGATGTTATAATGTTGTTCACACATATCAGTGTTTTTAAACACCATACACCTTCACCAGAATCATAATTTCAGCCCCAATCTCTATAGAACAAAAGGTAAAAAGCAGATGTTAATTTGAAAACTACCACTTCATGACATCACAAGGTGGAACAGAGCATTTTGAGCTTTGGAGATATAGAAAGGATTACAGAAACATGTGAATGAAACAAAACACAACTCCAGGTATGTTTCCAGGTAAGATAATAAACCTTATAACATGACTTAAAGCTCACAAGAGTACATTTTGTGTAATATAGGAACTTTAAAATGAAATCATAGCCACAGTTGTGCTTAGTTCTTAGGGCTGAGGCAATTAATACACTTTGTAAAGTGTATTATGTAAATTCATCATGTAAATTTTGGAATCTTAAAAATTTTGAGAGATTATTAAAAGCGCTTGGACAAGAGTTTTGATATAAGTTTGATTAGATTGAGATTTATGGTCTTGGAATCAATACTGAAAACAATTTTGGTTTTGAAAAGTCAACCAAGTCAACCAAGAAGTCGACCAAAACCAATCAATAAAAAATGCAACGCCCAGCCCTAAATCTACCCAACATCGACTTATTTTTCAATATATAAAAGCTGGAAAACTATATATTTTGGGGTCAATATTTATCACCTGTATATTTTCTTTCAAACAATGGGGAATTTTTTGTTATTTTTATTATAATAAGACAAGATTTGAGCTGTAGCGTGTGTGTTAAATAAGTAACTTGTATGGCACTGCTATTTGATTGCTAGTTGATTGCCGGGCCTTTTAAATGATACTGTCTCCTTATGATGAATGAAAGTGTTTACTAGGATTATCTTGCTTTATTGTTATTGTATCAGTGACATAAAGTAGTTTCAATAATATCTTATCATAGTATATCTCTTTAGCAATATATTGTGCTTCAAATGTTGTTATCATGACAGGCCTAACCCCACATAACACAATAAACTGACTTATAACACTGTATAGTTTCCAGTTGTGTATACAGCACTACTGCATAGGCGTCATCTACAAAGGAAAGGCACATTCTATTTTTGTCCATAAGAATTACAGATGTGATTCTCCCATAGTAATTTCAGCGCAGCAGACAATATAATTAGGCAGAGGATCAAGAGGTTGGGTTGAAATTGAAACACCTCAAAATGTGATTGTTATGAGCTTTCACCTGCCCCGAGAAATTAACCGTGTGCATAGCAATCAAGATGAGATAAGAACAGATTCAAGCACTTTGGAGGTTTGACATTGTGCATATGCTACTGATGAAAACGTACCGTGCCTAACAGACCTGTGAGTGTACATTTTTAGATTAGGGATGGGATGAGAGCGAGCCAAGACAAGATTTTAACATAATTCTACTAATATATACATTTCACGATTCAGTTTGCAATTTTGGCTTCATAATTTTTGTTTTAATTTGATTTAATATTTTTGTTTCCATTCTAGTACTGCTTTTTGGAGCTGTAAGAGATTTAACTCACCAAGACATAAACCAATCCAAATGTAAACGCTTGGAAAAAGTCTCATGGGATCATTTTCCTCATATGTTTTTAAAGGTGCATTGTGTAGCTTTTCTGGTGGAGAGTCCATCAAATGCTTTTTCCATGGAGATGTTATTGCTTTGTCTAGGATGTTTCACTGTTTGATATTAAACCTTTCTATCTTCATGGACACCAAAACAAACCAAGTTATTTTTGAGCTATAAAACAACCTGTAACTGAATAAATGTAAGGTAGAGCTGTTTAATGTCATAATGTGGAACATTCCAGGAGGCCAATGACATAGAAACAAGCAGGTAACAGACCCTCCACCAGAAAAGTTACACAGTGCACATTTAAAAATCCTGTGTCATCAGTAATGGAGGCAACTTGAGGCAAAGTGAAGTAGACATAATACATTTTCAGTGATTTCATAGATCTAAATGCTAATGGTTTTGCAACTTTATAACAAAAAATAAACAACAATTTAGAATTTCCAAAGTATTTAACATTATGTTATTTGCTTCTCTGTTAGGGAGGATGAAAAATGTTTCTACTCTCCCAAAAAGTATAATTTATGACGAAATGTGTAATATATCTGTGAATGAAGTGGTAAATTGTAGTCGGCTCTGCATTTCTGTAAGTATTTGTCTGGAAAAAGTACAATTATGGATGATTCCTTTGTCAAAAATGCTTAGTGAATTTAGTATTTTAAAGGGTCTATTCTACTCTCTCAATGCTTTCTAGTGCAGTCTTATTTCCAGAATGTTCAGAGAGTCAAATAAAAACAGCAAAACCTGATGATGTGAAAAGCAGTGGGAGGATGAAGCGTCTAGATGATGCTCGCAGGTGAAATACCAAGTGTTGCAATACATCAACTCAGGATCTTCCACAGATATTTCAGCTGCTTGCACAGACTGAACTGCACACATTCATTTAAAAGAAAAATGGGACATTGCACCTATGGCTCCACTACTGTTTCCATCTAATCCAACCTTTGCAATATGATCTGAAATAAACAATGCAAATCATCTATAAAGCATATTTCCTCAAAATTTTTGGACACATGAAATGATAATGACAATAACAATAATTCTATTTCATTTGTGTTCCCTCGTAGATTTTAATTCCTCTATTATGTGACATTCAATCTCCAATGTCCTGTATGTGGGACAGTGAGACAGTGCGATAAAAAACTCACTTTTAATTTAACTTTTTTGTATAATGTAGATTAAATACATTTTTGTATTACTTGTGATTATATTGTGACCTGTAAAGTTATTATATGTCTTTGACTGCTGTGTTTGGAAAAAAAAACTACCGTAGTATTGAGTTATAGTTGTCCCAGTCAGGCTTCATGACAGCTTAGGCCTATCACAATAATTACTATATCAACTTATCGTTCAATATGTTATAGATGGAATAATATTTTTTTGGGGGTCAGTATTTATCGTCTTTGCACTAGTGTGAAACTTTTGCTTATTTTATGGCTATTTGATAAGATTTGAG